GGGCACGCGACAACGCGCCTGCGCGCGGAGAGCCTGGAGATCGTCACGTGGCCACAGACGCCTGCGGAAGGGCAATGCCGGAAGTGGAGGAGCGGGCGGGAGGAGGGTTGCCATGGCAGCGGGAGGGCGCTGAGCTCCGCCCCCCGCTCCGGTGGCGGCGGGACGACGCCGCGGGTGGTGATGACAGCAGGCGGTGACGTCACGCGGTGGTGGCGGGAACGCGGCGGGCGCCGCGATGGAGGCCGCGATGGATACGGCGGCGCATCCCGATCCCGGCCCCGACCCTGATCCCAACGCCGACCCCGGCCCCGATCCCAACACCCAATCCAACCCCGATCCCAACGCCGACCCCGATCCCGGCCCCGGTTGCGGCGGCGCCCCACGCGGGTGGGAGAGGATCGTGACGCAGCGGCGCTCCGGGAAAACGGCGGGAAAATACGACGTGTGTTTTGTGAGGTAACGGCAGGGAGGGCCCGGGTCCCGGCAGCCGCCCCCCCTTCCCTAGCAGTGTCAGGACGCGGAGCGCTCGCTCGCAGCCCTTCTCATCCCGCCTCAGAARGCTGCCCACACGTCCTGCCAGCTGCCTCGTGCTGCTGGTTCTTAAATACGGGGTAGCGACTTAAACCAGAGCAATAAGATACAAAGCCATCACTAACCATTCACTTTTCTTTCATGCTACAGTCCTGGAGGGSATAAAATCAGATCAAAAGGTGCGCTGGTGGATTATTTCCATAAAACGGGGGAGACCACTCTGAAAGTTGAAGACTTCGACTTCACTGCACCGTCCCAGGGCGGTGGCCGCCCGCGGGCCAAGAGATGCCGCCCAAAATCTGTGGGGACTGCCCTGCAGAAGGAGGGCTGCCACYCCCACGTGCGGGGCCGCGGCGCGGAGAGCGGCCAAGAAGGCAAAACCCAGGAGCTTCCCACGGGAAGTGAGCCAGAGCCGCTGCAAGGTGCTGCTGGTACAAGCACTTGCGGTAGCAAAGATTTCAACGTGAAGGAAAGAAAACCAGAGGCCTGTCTGAAAAATGAAAGTAGAGAGACAGCCAGAAAAAGCGCTTGGAATATGAGAACTAGAAGGAGCTCAGAAAAGAGATATCCAGATAATACCCAACCCAAAAGACAGAGAAAAGTACGTAATAAGCAAGAAACTAATTGCGTTCAAAACAAGAAATTCTGTAGAAAGGACATATGTGCTTCTAACAGTCAAGGGGTAGGTGACCCAAATGCAGACCCTGTGAAYGCAGAAGAACGAAAAGCTCTTTTAATGGCAGAATTCCTGATTTCTGGATCCCGGTCAGAAAGTCAGCTAGGTACAGTCACAGCTCACTTGGAAAAGGAGGAGCCGAGGGACATGACTRAGCTGGAACATGCAGAGAAAGGTTTTGCTGACTCATCTTCCCCAAAATCTGAGGAGACTGATGAACTGGAAACAGGGAAAGAGACAGGTCAAGTAAATCCGGATAACATGATTTTTAATTCCAGCACTGAAACAAATGCAAACAGTTTGCAGCCTTGTGACAAGAAAGTCTTTACAGAAGTTAAAAAGCTGCAAGGTATATATGAATTTTTAAGTGGAGTGTTATTTTAACTTTGTGCTGGCATATGCCTGAACTTCAGTGGAAAAGTGTTCTGTTTCAGAAGGAGGAGCTTTGTACTTGGACAAATTTCATCCATCCGGGTGGAATAATCTATATGTGCTCTCGTGGGCATCTGTCTCATTTCTTTATCCTACAGCACTTAATATAGATCTCTTCACAAGTGGAACTTAACTATTGGTCTCTTCAGCTTTATGATATAAGGATCATTATCATCCTTACATTAGCTCTTCTAACACTGCTGCACCACTGGTCAGTTATTGAATAATGAAACAGGCTAATTTTAGATCATTTCCCATGATAGTTGTTTGTGGAGAGCACTTAAACCTTGACTGAGGCTGACTATGTTCCTCAGGCTGTGGCAAAGTAATGGTTTCTCTTAAGAAAATACTTGATACAACTGAAGTAACTGAAATACAGGTATTAGGGTGAATCCAAAGTATATTTACATTCTGCACACCTACTAGAAATCCTTGTATCCCCATCACAGCATAAAGAGGAAATAGTATATGAATCCTTAAAAAAGCAAAATACTTGTTTTTGTCTTTTTAATTGTGGCAGAAATAATGCTGATGTATTATTTCTTTACAGAAGAATCTATTCCACGAACACAAGTGGAAAAGAGGAAAACAAGTCCATATTTTTCAAGTAAATACTGCAAAGAAGGTATAATATTCTTTAGAGAGGGGGAAAAAAAAGTCTTATGCAGGGAGGAATACGATGGCTCAAGATCAAGTAATGTTATGGAAARTCTCTTGCAGTTTAGGCTGGCTTAACTAGAGCCATGCTCTGTGGCATCAGAGCTGGGTTTACCACAGGGTTCTGATCTCGTCCCATTTTAAACCTTGGTGGTTCATATCTTCCAAACAACCACTATATATCAGAGGAGTCAGCAGCTCTTTGGGTTTGGGGAAGGTTCTTGACAGACCATCAAGGTCATTATCTGCCAAGGGGAAAAAGAAATGTACCCTGTGGCTACTGCTGTATTTGCAGAAGACAGTGAGGATAGGGCCCCCTTCTCCAAAAATATGTATACCATACATGCATTGAAACACAGTGTGACACATACAGGCAGCCTTTGCCCTTATTGTAGACTGTGCCAGGGACACAGCCCCTTGCAGTTCTGTAGAAGAGAGTGATGAACTGGCAGTGCTCCAGCRCATTCACTGCCTGCACAATCTGCTCTGAAAGTTCCACTTGCTTTTTCTTTTAAATCTATCCTTTCCYGTCACATAATTTTCCCCTATGTGTGCAGCTCCAAGCCCACCTAGAAGGAAGGCCTTGAGAAAATGGACTCCTCCACGTTCTCCTTTTAACTTGGTCCAAGAAACTCTTTTCCACGATCCATGGAAACTTCTCATTGCAACCATATTTCTCAATAAGACTTCAGGTAAAGAGTGATAAAATTCCGTATTGTGTACATATTCAGGTGCTGCTGTCATATGGGCAAAAGAACCACTGCCAAAATTATGACATTAATGAAAGATTAAATACCTATTTTTATATATATATAGATATTTATTTATTTATGATAGTCCTAGGCCAGCAAGAGTTTGCTTCAAAAAAACACCACAAAATGACTGCAAAAGAGAACTACCYGTGCAGTTTTCTTTTCACGGTGATTTCTTTGGCTAGGTAAGATGGCAATTCCTGTGCTCTGGGAGTTCCTCAAGAAATATCCTTCTCCTGAAATAACAAGAAATGCAGACTGGRAAGAAATGTCACAGCTGCTCAAACCTCTCGGCCTCTACGAACTCAGAGCGAAAACTATAATCAAGTTCTCAGGTAGATTCTCCATAGTATGATTGTACAATGGTCTAAATTACATTAGCAAAGAAACTGCCTATTTTTCAAACGGTGCTGTGTGGCCTTTTCCTGCAGTAATATTTATTACCATTTTCTTATGCAGCTTTGGGATACATTGGTCTTATGGGTGCAAAGCTGTCCATCCTGTTGCCTTAACTGAAAAAAAAATAATGTACATAATGAGTTCTGCAAGAGACTTTTGTTAAGGAGAATTCTTTGAGTGGGAAAAAAAAAAACGTCTCCAAGACTGACTTAGCATTTTCCAACACTGATAAAATGGCTCAGCTTTGTTTCGTATCAGATGACCTCCAAAAGCCCTTTCCAGCCRATTTTTTCCAGCCATTTTTTTTCTATTGAGTCTATACTGTGATACTTCCTGTACTTCATAGTTACAATAAAAGCATTCCTTTGTGGATTCTGAGGAGAAAGATTTATTCAAAATTCACCCACAGTGATTTGTTTGAAAGATGTTTTGTGACCCCGCAGGGATTCTTCAGCTACTTCAGCGAGGAAATAGCTGTTTTTAATTTAAAATGTTCTATAATAGAGGTTTGGGACAATAACAGAGAGGCAGGATTTTATCTAAATTTGCTTTCTGTGATCCATTTGTCTGTACATAGTGAAATACGTAACTCTGTGTTCTAGATGAGTATCTGACCAAGCAGTGGAGGTACCCCATTGAGCTGCATGGAATTGGAAAATATGGGAATGATTCTTACAGAATCTTCTGTGTCAACGAATGGAAAGAGGTACGTGATGCTGCCCGTCCTTAATCCACGCCAGGGCTTGATTCACGATGTGCTCAAGAAAGCGGCAGTCAGTCCTTCAGCTTCGTTGGCTTTTACAGACATAGTCATTTGGCTTAATCAAAATTATAGTAAATTTTCATCTTCAAATGACTGAAGTTACAGAATGTAGCTTTTAAGAATCTGATCCTGTAAATCAAGACCCAATGTCACCTAGATTTTTAATTTTCTTATTTTTTTCATTTTTTAAAAATTATCTTAATATAGAGGTGAGATTCTCTTCCCTACTTTAGCTAAGAATTGGGTTCCAAATATTTAACATTTAATATTTAAAGCCTGGCATTGCTTCTAAATCTCTCTTCACTGGGTCCTCAGTATCCTGGCTTATTTCACCGCAGAAAATTGTGAGGGGCGGTTAAAGGATCGTTGTGCTGTCTGGTGCCTGACTTTCTTCCCAGTTCGTGGCAGTCCAAGCACGTTTCTCTTTAGTTTATGTATGCAGAGACTTACCTGTGCAGCGTGGGGCATCATACTTCTCTATTACCTGTGAGCTTTACAACAGCTCAGAGCTGGCATGGGAAATGTCTTAGAATATACTATAGAAATYTAAAGTAGTTGAAGTGAAAACACTTTAGTGAATGTTGAATGCCTTAATTGTGTTTCAGGTGCAGCCACAGGATCACAAGCTAAACATATATCATGCATGGCTCTGGGAAAATCGTGAGAAACTAAGTATAGATTGAAGAGAAACGGTACAACCTCATTTACAACCTGCTGTCTCTGTGAAGTGGATATCCTTAAACTGTTGTTCTGATCGTCCACCTCTTAATCTAAATATTCGTGTAACATATCACACTCAGGTAATCATTGTAATAAAATGACATTTAAAAACTTCAAATTTTAAATAAATGTATCAGTATTTTGTAGTGTCTCTTCTTATAAAGCAGCATGCTCTTACCTGAATCTTGTCACCATGAATTACAGGTAACAACAGAACACATACTTTGCATGTTTATCAGCAGCTTTATCACATGGGATTTACTGCTGTTTGCCCTCGCGATATGTGGGAATTTGGGCTCCCACCTGCCTGCCCTGTGGCTGGATGACTCCACTRGAGTAAGGAGCAGCGGGTTCCGTGTTTGCGGTGCGGGGGCCAGAACGATGGTGCCCTTTGCAGCGGTCCCGGCCCCGGCCCCGCCTCGGTGGCGCGCCGAGGCCGCTCTGCCGGGAGAACCGGCCCCGCAGCCGCCCGGGGCCGCCGCTCGGGTCCCGCAGGGGCAGCGCGGCCGCCCGGCGCGCAGCAAATGGCGGCGGCCGCGCCCGCCGGCCAATCAGCGCCGCGTTGCCATGGCACCCATGCCGCGGCCTCCCGCGCCGGCCGCCGCGGCCATAGCGGCAGGGGTAGGGGTAGGAGTGGGATAGGGGTAGGGATAGGGGTAAGGATGGGATAGGGATGGGATTAGGAATGGGAGAGGGGTAAGGATGGGATAGGGGTAGGGGTAGGGGTAGGGGTAGGGATAGCGATGGGATAGGGGTAGGTATAGGGATGGGGTAGGTATAGGGGTAGGGATAGGGGTAGAGATAGGGATAGGTGTAGGGATATTGGTATTGGCATTGGCAGCTAACTCCACAGAGGCAGGGGTATGGATATGGGTATGGATAAAGGGTATGGATATAGGCATTGGCATTGGCAGAGGCAGCTAATTCCGCAGGGATATGGGTATGGGTAGAGGTATTGGCATTGATATTGGCATTGGCAGCTAACTCAGCAGAGGCAGGGGTACGGATATGGCTATGGGTATGGCTATGGGTGTTGGCATTGGCAGGGRCAGCTAAATCAGCAGGGACAGGTCTATAGATATGGGTATGGACATGGCTATGGATAAGGGTATGGATAAGGGTATTGGCACTGGCAGCTACCTCAGCAGAGGCAGGGTGTTGGCATTGGCAGGGACAGCTAAATCAGCAGGGACAGGTCTATAGATATGGGTATGGACATGGCTATGGATAAGGGTATGGATAAGGGTATTGGCACTGGCAGCTACCTCAGCAGAGGCAGGGTTATGGCTATGGGTATGGATATGGGTATGGCTATGGGTATGGCTATGGGTGTTGGCATTGTCAGGGGCAGCCAACCCACCCTCATGGCACACCCCCTCTATGGGGCATCGTCCCTGCAGGGCCCGGCGTGCAGGAGGCCGTGGCCCCGGTGCCAGAGGAGCTGGGCTGCGGGCTCCGATCCGGCGGGACGGWCGGGCCCGGCCGTTGTCCCCTTGTCCCCATTGGCGGCGGCTCGTGCCGGCGGGAGGCTCCTTGGTGCCGCCCCGCRGTGCGACGCCAGCCCGGCCGCCACGGGAGGCATTAGTCACGCCACTGTCAGGGCGCCGCCGGCTCCTTGCTGCTGCCGCAGGGATTATCTCATTTGGGCTTAGAAAGATCTTATGAAATTTTAGTCTTCTTTTTGTTTCTTTTTTTCTTCCTCTAGGATCAAAGTCGGATGTAAAAAGGAATTGCTCCAGCTGAGCTTGACACTAGGTTTTGTAATAAGTGCATCTGTTGTCACTTACACTGCCAGCATGAGCAGCACRGATTTAATTGAGGATTTGACTGATGTGAAGCCAGAACTGGTCTTGGGGCACTGTTTCAAGCAGCAACGGCTGAGAAATATGTATCCACATGTTTTCATTAAGTTGAAAGCAAGTAGGTTTGGGCCACCGCGATCCAGGCGCCGGATTATTTTTGCCCCACCTGTGGCAGGAGCAGCTTCTCCCTTTYCCCAGCCAGCTGCAGCCCTGAATTTCTGTCCCACAACCCTCCCGCAGCCACCTCAGGAGGCAGAGGATAGCCTGTGCTTTCCAAAGATCACCCCCAGGGCAGAAGATGATCCGCAAAAGCTGGAGGCTTGGATTACGGAGAGGATGCAATTTCGGTCTCAGCTGGAAAGCCTTGTGGATGTGAAAAGATGGCTGATGCAGAAGCCTTCCCGCAGCGACCAGGAGGAAAGAGTCTGGAGAAGAGTGCAGGGCGGCAGGAAGGCCGGGGCCCGGCGGCCCCGCGGCGCCGAGAGGGTGCGCGCGGCTCCGGGCTGCAGCGCGGCCGCTGGTGCCGCTGGCTCGGACAAGGGCGATGCCAGCGCTGTCTTCCCGTGTCTTTCAGTGCCTGCCGCCGGGGAGCAGCCAGACAGGGTGCCACGGGAGCGCGCCCCTCATCCGTGCGCCGTATCCGCAGGCTCTCGTCACGCTGCAAAACCTTCTGCACAAGCACAGCTTCAAGATGGTGGACCTGTTCAGGAAGGCCGATGTCTATAGGGGGAAGATCTCCAGGGAAAAGTTCATTAAGGTCATCAAGGAGGTACATAGGGAGCAGAATAGTAACGATCAGCTGCGGCTCTGCCTTATTTTTTCCACATGTAAACCCAGAGCAGTTCCAATGGAGCAGGCGGGAGCTTCCACAAGGAGCGTTTTCTTGGGAATTGCTCCCACAAGTTGTGAAAAGCTTCTGGGGAAGGAGAGGGCAAGGTGTGGAGCAGCTGGATGTAACCTGGAGCGAGTGCCAGGAGGGAGGGAGACCCTCTGTGCCCTGAGCTGCCATCAGCCATCCCGGCGCTGCCACTGAGGCCCCCTCCAGCCCAAGTATGTCCCTTGGGAGGGCACTTGGGCCTGCGCTCGTGCAGCGGCGCTGCGCGGAGCCTCGCTGCGGATCCTGGCTGCGGGGCCGGGAGCTCCTCAGGCACCCGGGCACCAGCCGTCCCCAGGTACAGCCCAGCCCCAAGGGCTTCTCGAAACCCACCAGCTGGARGTTTGTGCCAACGCCGCCAGCTCTGCGCAGGGCAGCGGCGCCCAGGAACACCAGTGAATCCAGACGGGCCCAAGCAAAGCCCATTGACCTTGTGCCCTGCCTGCAAACACAGTTGTGGCAGCAGAGCTCATCCCTCGGGGCTCCCTGGCGAGCCTCAGATTTCTGCTGATTACAGCGTCATTTTTGTTTCGATTACCAGACCAAAGTTCCGGTAAGTGACAAGGATTTGGAGGATGCGATCATCTTCCTGACTTCGTCAAAACAGGGGAATGTTATAAGAAGTGAGGATCTGGTAGAATGTCAAGATCGGTGGCTGGAAATGATGCAAGGGCAGTGCAGAGAGACCCCAACAGGTGAGCGGAGAGCACTGTGATGGGGAGCCCCGTGTGTCCTTCGAAAATGTGTGCGGGACGCGGCCCCTCGGATCATCACTCCATAGCAGCGTGTCGGGAAGGAGACTTTTGTGGGCAGAGCCAAGGAGCCCAGCAGACATGCAGTGCTGCGATCAGCCCCAGTGCAGGACAGAGACATGGCCAAATCTTTCAGCTCTGGCTTAAAATCTGAAACCTGAGGTTGAACATCCTGATAGGATTTTGTTAGGTAGCGTTGATCATCCAGCTGATCAAAACCAGACCTTTCTCCAGCTGTCAGGGGTTGCTGGAAAACACAGATTCAGCAGAGCTGTTTTTCGAGCCTAACCCAGCCCTGGAAGCTTGTCACTGTGTCTGCGTCACCCTAGGCTGCAGTTTTCACTTCTGTGAGATGAGGCGTTTTGCTGCCCTTGTATTCACTGTTTTGCAGATTTAAAATATGTTGTAAGCAAACAAAACACTTCAGAAGACTGTAAACTATGTGAGTAGGCTCTAAGATTCATGTCAGGATCAAAGGGCAAAGGATGTTTTCACACAAAGATCTGAGTCTGCTGGGAGATCAGCTTGCACAAAAGGCAAAATCCATTGTCTTGACTCTCTGCAGGTGCAGATGTTTCTCCCTGCTAGTTACAGTGTTTCTCTGAGGTTTTTATTTGTTTTTGCAATACATCACAGGTGTACAAGCCCAGTCCCCAAAAGCCGCTTACAGAACTGCCACTTACAGAGCCTCTGTGGGGGGAAGAGCCAGAGAAGAGAAGCCTCTCGTTCCCCGCAAGCCCCAAGCACGGTCACGGCTGCTGGAAGTTCCCCCAGGGAACACTGAGCCGGAACGCAGATATGTGAGCTACGATGAAATGGAGGAGATTGGAAAGCGGTTCCGAGACAGGAAGCGGAGGGAGAAGGTACCGTGTGTGTGACCAGAGAACAGGCGCAGCCGGCGCTGGGGGCAGTTGGGCTGCTTAGAGGTCAGCGCAGCTGTACCGAAAAGAGCAGGGGCGGGCTGTGAATGTGAGCTTCTTAACAGCCCTGCGCCCGAGGTGCTGCAGGCCTCTGGGGCACATGGTCTGGCTTCTGTACGCTTTGGCGAGATAAATGCTTTCTATGGGTAAATGGCAAGAAAAAGGTGTTTCATAGGTGATGCAATTGTTATGTCTGGTGATGGAATGTCTCTTTCTGATTGTCTAGTCTGCCTGTCCATCAGAGATGGTTTGTCCCTCAAAATGYTGATGGGCATTTAGATGAGTGTGTGTGAGTATGGGTGCCTTGTCCCTCTGCRTGGTCCTGTTGGCCCTGCAGACACCCCTTGGGGGTGCCCCACTGCTCGGCTGTGGCACCGGCACCCGCGCCGGCAGTGACCTCCCCTCTGCTTGCAGAGCAAGGACACCCCGATAGAATGGAGAGAAAAGTGCCGGCTGGTGCGATCYGGGGACAGGCGTGTCGACGAGCACTGCCTGCCCTCCACTCTAGCGGGCGACATGGCCGAGCTCACGGACCACTATCGCGGGGATTCCTTCATGACCTACCTGAGGAGCTTCAACCTCTGCAAAGAACATCAGATCCACCTCACCAAGGCAGTGCTGCAGAAAGGTAAAGCAAAGACCAGTAGCTTGATGTGAATGCACTAAATCTGACAGACTTGCACCTCTTCCTGAGCCCGGGAACACGGGCTGCTCATGGGGCACGTCTGCAGCCCTCTCTTTTCACTGTCCGCTTCGCCAACAGCCCTGCTGCACCCAGGAGACAAGATCATAAAAGAGGGAGACGACATGCGGAAAATCAGGCAGCCTGGAGGGCCCTACTCGGCAGCAGCCGCCCGTGCGCCGCCCGCCGCGAGCGCATCAGGGCCGGGAGCATCCGGCAAGCGGGCCGGAGAGATGCACAACAGGTTTGTTCCCAGGGAGGGTCAGACCAGTCCCCGCGGCTCCGCGGGGCCACTGTTTGTTCCCTGCTGCACGTGAGGAGCTACCCGTGTGTTGGAGGGAAATACCGGGGTGCTGCAGGGCAGCCGCACTGGCAGTGCCGGGGCAGATTCTGCGCTCGGGGGCACGGGCGCTCCTGCAGTGCAGCCAAGCCGCCGGGTTGCAGCGCTACCTGCGATGCCTGGCAGGAGCACTGCAGACTGCTGGGGTCTAGTTCTGTGCTGCAAACCCATAGAGAGCTACTGGGGTGACAGAACTTCTTACCTAAGAATGTCCTACTCAAGAGTGACCCCACACTGCAGTGCGTAATTTTGTAAATTTGCATTTCTAATGTAAATAATGCCTAATAATGCCTACTATTATGCTGCAAGTAAGTGCGTCTAGCAAGGAAACCTGAACCTTGGTTCACTCTGCTTGACGTGTGGGATACAGCAGGGGCACAGGCCATGCAGAGACACCTGGGCTCAGCCTCAGCTCAAACAAAAGCCCTTCCTAATTCCCATCTCGGAAATACCGGGAAAGGACGAAGGCCGCCTGAGCCTGGAAGCCCTGCCCGCTGCCCCTGCTYTCACTTCAGGCCTTACTGACAGGAGCAGGGACACCACCAGGACTGATCTCTCTGAAACACGTTATCCTCTCTGCTGTTTTCCGTTCTCTTTGGCAGGCAGAGGCGGCGAGGGCGGCGGGCCGGGCGCGTGAGCAGGTCGCACGACAACAACTTCTGGCCGGGGCAGCTGCTGGACAAGCTGCGGCTCTTCCTGCCGGCGCCGCCGGGCCGGGCGCTCGCCCTCTTCAGCTACGTGGGCCGCCCGGGGCCCGGCTGCCTCGGCGGGCCGGCCGCCCCGCGCCCGGGTGCAGGCCCGGGCCGCCCCTCAGCGCCGGCGCAATAAACGTGTGGGCAGCGCCGCTCCGCGCCCGCGCAGCGGGGCCGCCCACGGCAGCCTGGCGCAGCTGCCCGCGGGGTGCCCGTGTCCCCGGCGGGGCGCGGCGGTTCCCGGGGGTGCCCGTGTGCCTCCGTGTCCTCCCCGTGCCCCCGCTGTCCCCACCGCTCCCGGTGTCCCCCCGTGTCCCCGCTGTCCAGGCCGCTCCCGGTGTCCCCCCGTGCCCCCCGTGTCCCCGCCGCTCCCGGTGTCCCCCCGTGCCCCCCGTGTCCCCGCTGTCCCGGCCGCTCCCGGTGCCCCCCGTGTCCCGCCGTGTCCCCGCTGTCCCGGGCGCTCCTCCCCGCCGCTGGGGGCGCTGCCGGCCGGCCCCGCCCCGCGCTCCCGGCGTGCCCCGCGCGCGACGCCGCCCTCCCTCTCTCGCTCTCTCTCGGCGCGGCGGCCGCAGCGGCGGGTCGCGGAGCCGGTGANGCGCGCGGCGCCGCCCTCCCTTCCTCCCTCCCTCTCGGCGCGGCGGCCGCAGCGGCGGGTTGCGGAGCCGGTGAGTCCCATCCGGCGCCATCCGCGGCCATCCGCCCCTCCCGGCGGGAGGGACAGGGCGGGGGCGGTCACGGTCACGGTCACCGCGCGGGGGGCTCGGCGGCGGCGGGAGCGGGGGTGTCCCTCGGGCGGCGCGGCCCGGCTCGGCGCGTCGCGTCGCGTCCCCTCCCGGATCGCATCTGGGGAGCTGCCCGTGCTCGCCCAGCATCGGAAGCGGGAGGCAGAGGCGGCAGGGAGCCCATTCCGCCGCGGCCGCCGTGGCCCCGCGCGGAAGACCAACCTGCGACAGGCGCCGCGGCGCCGCGCAGGCGCCATGCCCGCCCTCAGGCCGCTCGTCAAGCCGCGCATCGTCAAGAAGAGGACCAAGAAGTTCATCCGGCACCAGTCCGACCGCTATGTCAAGATCAAGGTGAGCAGGGCCGGGCGGGCGGCGCGGGGCTCCGCTCCGGCGCGCGGCCCTCGCCCCGCCGCCTCCTAAACCCTCTGTGCGCTGCAGCGCAACTGGCGCAAGCCGAGGGGCATCGACAACAGAGTCCGCCGGCGCTTCAAGGGGCAGATCCTGATGCCCAACATCGGTTACGGGAGCAACAAGAAGACCAAGCACATGCTGCCCACAGGCTTCAGGAAGTTCCTGGTGCACAACGTCAAGGAGCTCGAGGTGCTCATGATGAGCAACAAGTGAGTTCCCGCGCTGCTGGGCGCTGCGGCTGAGGCGCTGCCCTCCCTGGGCTGGGCGCCGCCGGCCTTGGCAGCGTGGAGCCCCGAGGGGCAGGGCTGCTGCGGGGCCGGCAGCACGGGGCTGCATCGCAGGACGGGACGGGCGGTTGGTCTCCGCTGAGGGGAGCGGGCGAGGGGCGGCCCYGGGCCCTTCCCACAGCCATCGCACTTGCGCACCGGCTCGCACCGCTCCCTGGAGCGCCGGCCGCAGCATCTCGCGTCCCTCTGCACTGACACAGCACCCACACGGTCCCTGTGCCTGTAGCGCTTGCTTCTCTGAAATGGGAGTGAGGAGAGTGATGTTCTGGGGGAGATGTCCTGAAAAATGCCCTGAGGTCTAYCCATGTGTGTGAAACAGAGGCGCTGCTGCAGCGGGGTCGGGAACGGGGCGCACAGGTCCTGGTGTCGCTTGAAGCAGGCGCTCGCACAGCGCTGCATCCCGGGCTCGTGCCTGATGTGCACCCTGCTCCCGCAGGTCCTACTGCGCCGAGATCGCGCACAACGTGTCCTCCAAGAACCGCAAGGTGATCGTGGAGAGAGCCGCCCAGCTTGCCATCAAGATCACCAACCCCAACGCCAGGTTACGCAGCGAGGAGAACGAGTAAAGGCTTCCTGCAGTGGGGTGTATTTAATAAAGAGTGAAACCAAAGTGCAGTGAGTAGTTCTGACTCGCCCAAGGCAGGGCTGCTCTTGTGCCCCTTCCTGCCCACGGCTCCGCTGGTGGCCGCTGGTCCCGCGGTCACTGCTCTGGTGCCATCTCATTCCCCGCTGAGGCTGCACTCTTGGCCCAGGAGCCGCTGCTCCCGTTCAGCTCTGCTTCCTTCAGGAGGCTCCCATTAGCCTTAACTATAGGGAGCGGGACTGGGCCTGAACCGCGTGGAGGAGCTGATCACAGGGAGGAAAGTCCTGGTGCGTAAGGAAAGGCTGGAGCCTCTGCTGTTCCCTTGTGTGTYGGCCTTGGCACCAACAGCTAATTCCCCTGTGACCATAATGAATTTGGAACTGTGCACAGCTGCATAAGTACACTTTTATTTCCTTGGATACCACTCAAACAGCACGGAGGCTCTTTCACACTGCATTATAGTTTTCACATCAACCACTCTGTCAAAAAGGGAGAAAAAAGAAAGCTTAGTACAAATCCAYGGCTCCAAGAGGGGTGTCATGGCAGCCTCAGTCTCTAGTTTGCTCTTTGTTACATTCCCTGGTTTCTGTTAAAGGCTCKTCCTATGCAAAGCAGAACTGGAACAAGGCAGCCCCTCAGGGCAAGTTTCCGAATGCTGCAAGCGCCAGTGGCCTTTGCCTGCTCTGGTGCTGGGCGCTAGCGCACCGAACAGCCGCCGAGCTGRAAACGCAGCTGCTTCTTCCTCTGATGCCGGAGGCTCCGGGCTTTGGCACATACGGGAGCGCGGGCACTGGTCACACAGGGCACCCTGGAGCTGCTCTGAGCGGCTCTGCCCCTGCCCGAGGAKCAAGGGGAGCATGTTGGGGAGGATCCCTTTGGGAAGACAGCTGATTGAGGTATTGGCACAGTTAAAACTGTAATAACGGCAGTCAAGCGTGATAGTTCTGTGTCACCAAAACACCACAGAAATACCAAGTATCCTGTTCTTAGAGTCTAGTTCTACAGGAGTGGCTGGGAGGGGTAAGTGCTGTCCACCGAGCTCATGCAGCTTCCCTGATTCTTGAACCTCTCCCCTTTTCAAAGGGGATGAGCTGCTCATGATGCTCATCTCTGCTTCAGCCAGGACATGGCTTACAGGTTTTAGTCATGTTATTTAGTGAAGCAAAAGAAACACATTCTTCAGACAATTTGGGGAGAAAGTGCGCGTGCAGTGGTTAAACAAAACAAAATCCAAACCCTTACCCTGCTTGACAGGGTGCTGCAGGAGGGAAGTGTTCCAGGGCTGGGGCTCTTTTCCATGGAGCTGCACTAAATGGGATTGCCTCGTGCGCCCATTAGCAGCTTGCTCACAAACCAGCACCCTCATTTTCCATTCCGTTACCTAGGGAAGGCCACGCGTTCCCGGGCTGCAGAGCCCGCCCCGGTTTGGCGGGACACCCCCCTCCTGCGGGCACCGCTGGGCCCCCCTTCCCCTCGCGCAGGGGCTGCTGCAGCACACASGAGCTGCTCCATGACATTCCCCCTTAGCCCAGCTCCGAGGATCTGTTACGTTAATGCAGGACAGGGATGGGAGGGCGAGGGGTGTAAACAACCTTAACTCATGTCCATTGATTCTGGGGTGGATAAGGAGGCAGAATCCTTCTGAATGCTTTCAAAAAGTGATACCATTTCCGGATTGGATCTGATCTGAGAGGAAAATTCAGCCATTATGGGACTCTTCTCTACTTCAGGGATGGTCAGGAGAGCAGCCACTGCTCTCATTGCCGATCGCTTCAGTTCATCCTGTTTTTCAAACTCCTGTTTCACGGATCCAGCTTTTACCTGAAACCCCAAAGCGGCCCTTTCAGCTGGGATTCAGAAAAGGCTGTGCAGGCAGAAAGCGCAGGGAGGAACCGGCAGGTTCTTGTCTAACCAYAGGCTCCGAGGAGAGGGCAGCCCAGACCCAGACTCAGGACCCCCAGCACAGGTGGCAGCACCTGCAGACCGGTCCCCTTGCCCTGTCCCTCTTACCTTGGTGGAGCAGGTGGCCCGCAGGGGCTCGATCAGCCGCTCCAGCCTCTGCAGGACGGCGCTCGGGCACAGCGTGGACAGGCGGGCCAGCATTATGAAAGTCAGCATCTAGACAGACAGAACCAGCTTTGCCTCGCACCGCCTCCCCGCTGAGGCTGAGCACGGCCCTGGCTACCACGGTGGCGTGCGGGCTCTCCCTGTGCCTCCACACAACCAATACACACCAGTAGCCTGCCTGGACTCTGGTCCCAGGTCTACATTATCCTCCAGAGTGTCCATGACATCTGACAGCGGCACTCACCCTAGGGACCGAGCCCCTGCTGGGCCGTCTCTGCCTCCATATGGAGCAGTATGAAAAGGAGGCACCGCCTCCTCGTACCCACAGTCTCGCTGGCCATGGAGGGCAGGTAACAATGCGGCATCACAGGGATTTGAGAGTTGGGGAGGTTTCCTATAAAAGCGCTACACCCACATTGTATTTCCAAGGCCAGAACTGAACTACACCTGGACCAGTGTGGTGAGCGGCTGCAGAGACAGGAAAGCATCGCGCCAGGGACGCTGCCCTGGGCACACACCAGCTTCGCTCAAAGCCAGGGGCCCATCCGTTAGGTCCCCTCACAGTAAAGCTAAAGCACCCACCCGAATGTCGTAATGATCCTTCAGCCCATCCTCCACGTGATTCAGGTACTCRTAGATATCCAGCCGGTCCAGGCAGCTTTCCAGCAGCGTGTACATGCATTCGAAAGCAGCTTTCCTCACGTCAAGGCCGTCATCCACTGTGTGCTTGAATGGCCCCATTTCTACCTTAACGAGTAGAAAAGCGGCGCGGGTCACGGTCACGGAGGGGCTCTGCGCCCCCCGTGCCCCGAGCCGGCCGCGCTCGCACCTACCTCCCGGATGAGCTCCCTCCTGACCTTCGTCTCCTTGTACAAGCTGGGCAGAACAGCACTCAGCAAGTCTCGGATGAGGGATGGTTTGTTGTGAGCAGCTGAATTAAACAAAGCTAAAGCCACGCGTCGAACGTTCAGGTCTGGATCCTGAAGAGTTTTTAGGAAGTCACCTTTGGGATAAGAACACACAGATCAGTCCTGCTGCAGCATTTTAACTGCTCTCCAAGCACTTG